AGAAAATTTCAAAGTAAGTAAAATACACTAGATGATTATGATAATTGTACTGCGAATGTTTATGCATTTATCAAAAATTTTAACATGCATAATACAGTAAAATAAAGATTTTAATAGAATTTAATGATATTTATATATTACTGATAACCTAATAAGATATTTTGTACAGGAACTGGATATAGCTCAATTATTCAGAAATTACTAAGGAAATAATCTATAATAAGATGTACATGTTGAACTTTTAATAAACAATAATTCTACGGATAGAAACAAATTCATTAATCTTCATGCTATAACTGATAAAAACATTTTCGATCGAACTGCTTATAAGAGAGTAACCTCTATTAATCACGATTCGTGGTTCCCCTGTATAACCCCTTAAGGGATAAGAATAAAAACCTGTGAATGTGGTAATCGACGAAGTGAATCGAAATCAATGAACCAGTCCCCAATACGTACGATTGCGACACTCAAATTGCGTGATTAAATGATAGTTTCTCGTTCTTTTTTCTTGAATGTAGACGCGTGTTCGGTTGAGCTCGATCGGACTTCGTGAAAGGAGCAAGGATACCCATTCCCCCTCCAAGGACGGATTATTCGCGCGTGTTCGGACAATCGTTGTATCGCGCTATTAATCGGGAGCTATCGATCCGCGATGATATATTGGAATAGACTAGAGGCGGATTGATATTATCGAACGCCGAACACATTTCCTTCCACATTACGAGGAAACGCGTGAAGGTCTGTCGCGACGGTTTCTTGCGTTCTCTTCCATATTTATTTCCCTTGCGTAGGCGGATTCCGTCTTATACTTAACGTTTAAACGAAAAACAGAATTAATCGCCTTGTGTTCTTCTGTTTTCTGTTCCAGTAAATTGCTACTTTTTGCTTCGTTATCTGGTCAGAGAGTTAGTGATTCATTGTTCATTGGAGACATTAACTTTTTACCGGATCTAATATAGACTGCGTAATGGTACTTGTCTGTGGATGGTTTTTTGTTAATTGTACATTAAGATATAAGTGATCTCTATATATCCTACAATCTTTATCCTTACAATGGAATACACGTGTGGTGCGCTCATATAACAGTATTGGAATATGATTTTATTTCCTATTATCGACCAAGTAGAATCAGCCATCGGTGGCCAGACACCGAATTCTACAGCATTCACAGAACCGAACTGTTAGTGTAGATTTCTATGACGTGTGTGCGTGCGTGTGTCATTCGTAAAGGAAAATTCCTTGCGTTATACAATTTTTGTTGAATTTTGAATCCGTGCTGCATTCGCTAGCCTTGAAAACGACGTCGCGTAATACGTGAGGCTTGGCGGAATCATTCAGGTTGAGGTATAGCCATACATATTCAAGAGCCTTCGATGTTGCAACACCGAATTGCATACATTCCCCGTCTTGTGATATTTATCCCGGAGTTTCCGTAATAAAGTCGATACACCGTACCTTCGACAAATAAATGGATCTTTCAATAATAGACCATTATCTTTCAACTGAAAAATCATACATAGACGGAGTCTGATAAAAAACATTATCAAATAATTGCCCACGATCGTAAACAGATACTAAAATTGTATGACGCATTGAAACTCTTGTGTAAATTGTCAAAATGTAAAAATTGATATGTCATGTAATATACACAAAAATACAACGAAACATTTCATTCGTAATTTTTAAATAATCTTTGAAGAAAGAAGTTTATCTTCAAAAATGTCCATGCAATAATAGAAATCTCCAGCTGTACATTCGAGATACAAAGTATTAATGAGTGACAGTCGTGCATATTAATAACGATCATTAATTCCAGAATGATAGAACGAACTGCGAGCTAGGTACAGGTGTGCAAGTAGAGGAAGCCAATTGAGAACAGGCACACAGTCAAAATTACTTATAAAGTACCCGGGGCGTCTGGCCCACATACATTATTCTTGGCCAAGTTAACGTAACTTCCCCAGGGGCCGACGGTTGTTTTACACGTTTCACACTTCTTCCAAGAATCCTCATTTCTCTTCGCCCCGGTCATCCTACATTTTTCAACGTCCACCAGCGGCGCCCTGCCTTTAACATCCCTTTCGCGATTTCTCTTATCAATCACGGACGAGGGAACTGTATCAAAGAACTCACGTAGCCCGAGTCCATTGAAGATGGGAGGAGTTCAATAACTTTAACCGACGTTCGATAAAAATATCATGATTGACAACGCAATATTGGAGAGAATACTAACAGACGTAGTGACGTTCGTTTAAATTCAGGAGATAATGGTTCGTGGTATTAAACATTGTCTGACACTAAACCGTTTTTCGTAAATATCACGTAAATTTAGTTTAATATTGCCTTCATTTTTGTGACTTTTGTAGATCGGAGTAAATATTTCTCTATAGATTCAGATTTTTGGAAAATAAGTATACGTTGGGAACGTATTGGAATTTCGTGTTACAAAGATATATTAAGAATTATTATTGTAGGAATCTTATACTGATATGAACCTAATTTTGAGAAGAATTAGGGTAAACTAATTACGTATTAAGATTGATACCTCGTTTTTGCTATTTATAACGTTATACTATATATCTATTATTAAACATAAATGGGATGGAAATTAGTTAATGAAAAGTGATTATCAAAGTAAATTATTTAGAATATAGATAAGCATGTTTCGACTTACACGATGCAGGTAATTGACACCTCCGATTGGCGTCATTACATTCCGTTGACTCATAGCGGAACCGCGACCAACACCAGGTCATTCACCAAGATAAATTAGCTCGCGCCCATTCACGTTAAACGTCCTCGAGTGCAGTGCCCTTCACAGCCGAGGCTGGGCAACGTTTGCCGCGGCGATAGGTAGCAAACAGTCCGGTTATCTGTAGGTCGAATCCATCGAGCGGCACCGACGGTGCGCCATTATCGGCACGCGATGGGACACTAAGAGACTTACTGGTCGTAAAAATTTACCTCGGTTGGCGGTCCAACGGTGATTAGATCGCCCCGAGGAGGGTAATAAATCACTGGACGTCACAGGCAAAATCGCAATCTAACCGGCTTTTAAATCTCTGGCTGCCCCTAATTATGAATCGTTTTCGCAACAATCTCCGTTCACAGTTGCATTTTAATATACAGTAATACCACGACTTACGCTCTCCCGATTTACGCGAATTTGCACTTATGTAATACATTGTTTCCCCTCCTCTCCCATCTCTTACATGCCACTTGTATGTTACATAACTATTTTTGTAGTTTATTTTAATAAATAAAACAGTATTAATTAGCAAGAAATTAGCATTTTATCAAAGAACCGACTAGCTCACGTTAATATAAAGTTGTATGGAAATTTCTACTACGACTTACGTTTTTTCCACCAATCTGCGTTTTCGTGTCGCGACCAAACACCTGTTTGTCGATAATTGCATTCGAACTCGAGGAAAATTATGATTCGGGGTAATTAGGAATGATAATTTTTGTCCGATGCTGGGAACATGTGTAGACAACTTTTTGAGGTAAAAGGAATATTGGAAATTTATGTAGATTAAAAAATGGATTGGGAATGTTGAATGAAATCTTTATGCATGGGATGATTGTTTGCAATATCACTAATCGAATAGCCTACACCACGAAGAACACGCACACACACACACACACCGCAAAACGTTTTTCAATTGAAATCTCTGCAACTTTCCGCACTTTCAATACATTGGAGCGAATGTTGTTTCGTTAAAGGACGAAGAAGAACTGATTACGGGAAGGTGAATTTCGTATTTATATGACTCGTGGTAGGGGTACGGTCCTAAAGAAACAATGGAATGAAAAATATTATGGTTAGCGAGTTCAAAATTTGCGGAAAAACCCAAGCTGTTCGTAGCGGTCGCGATAATACAAAGTGAAAAGCAGTAGTATCTCAGGGTGTCGTTCTGAGCTTTAAACAGTTAATGAGATTAAATAGTTGATCGACAAATGTCGATTTATTCATGAAGAAGTATTATTTTATTATAAAAATGGAAATTTCCACGTTTAAACAATTAAAAATGACGAAATACTTTTTTTTATTCGTTATTCGAAACTTTTTATCTAGGTAATTAGTTTGCCCATCTCTCTCCCCAGGTTTAACACTGACATTTTAATGAGATTTAGCACAGTCATAGAGCTTGGAATTTTGAAGTCAATCATATTTGTTTCAGCCAAATATGGCTATTAGTTTATGAAATATATAATGTTCAGTACCGAGAAGCCTTCAAACACTCATCGAGGATTTCCTGTAGATAGAGAGGACAATAGGAAGAAGAAGAAAAGGTTCCCCCTATATCTTCCTTTTCCCTCGAACCTTCATCGTCTCTACTTCTTCGCTCTCCAGTTACTATAAAGCCCAATGATCCTGTAACATTAATAAACCTCCATTCGCTTATCAAACCTCAAAGACCAGCCGCCAACTGATTCAATCAGACTATATCTGTGAGGCTAACTCACCCACTGTCCTTGCTGGACCAATTCAGTTCCCCCGGCGTACACACTAGAATTACACCGACCTAGCTCCAGAGAAACACCAGTATTTTACCAGCATCCCTTTGTTCCAGGATTCCAAACAGAAGGAACGGTCGCTACTCACGGGCAGAGGCCGCAATTATGAGACCATCTCCTATCCTCCGTCCTCCAAGCACACCGGATCGTTAACTCTACGTCCCTGAAAGTCGCCCGAACCACCTCGAGTGCCATTGATAAGCGGTGGAGGAGGTGGAGGAAGACTCTCGTACTCCCGGCGTGTCGGTATCGCGGTAATATTTAAATCGTAGCGCAAACCGATAGACTTCGTCATGCACCACTGAACTATCCTCGTCTCTCTGGTAGCGTGAAGAACCGCGAAAGTTCTCTCGACGCGAAGACCCCAGTCACGCAAAGACGACGTGGTTCTCGAGTAGATCTTTGTACCGGGATCTAACGACCTGGGTTCGTCTCTCTCTTTCACTCTATCGTCATTCGAATCCGTGTCAAGAAGCCGGGCGAGGTTGCCGTCGAGCCATGACGCTCGATAACAGGGACAAAACGGGACAGTTCGTGAAAGTGAGAACGGAAAGTACAGGTTACGAGCCGGCGGAACGATGGCGGATCACCAGGAACGTGCTGGTGATCGGGCTAGCTTTCATGGTGAACTTCACGGCGTTCATGGGCGCCACAAATCTACAGAGTTCGATCAATGCCGATCAATCACTGGGAACGTTCACGCTGGCGTCGATCTACGGGAGCCTGATATTCAGCAATATCTTCCTGCCTACTCTGATCATAAGGTAATTAGATGTTTGTTTTTTATTGTGTAGTAATCAGCGACCACAGTGTTTTTTAATTTAATTACACTTGTAAGTAGTTTAGCTTCTTTTAGGAATTGTAGTATTAAACGTATTTTTTACGTTTGGAGAAATTCTCTTTGAAGTTGTAGCTTATGTTGTTCCTACTAAATAAACGTTTCTAGAATATCGTAAAAAATTCTAGCTTCCCTCACCAAATATCTATCAATTTTCTGGATTTTAAGGCAGAGAAACGCTTTTCAAATGGCTCATAAAAGATCTACCCTCGCGGAAAGGAACCCTAAACCTCACGTCGAAAACATTCCAAAAGGAGCTCGGTTTGCCGAGCATTTTCCCTCGGGGAAGCTTAAACTCTGCCGGGCGGCCTATAATTTTCGCGTGTAACGAGTGATACGGTCGTGTCAGGGGTGGTACCGCTCGTAACGTTACAGCGTATTTAAAACGCGGCGCCGAATGGTGAAAGCGTCTTTCCGCTTCCCTTTTTCCAGCAATTGTACTCGAGTACGCGTGACCTGTTTACTACAAAAGGGTCAAGCAGTCGAGGAGGGGTAGCATTTACCTTTTGTATCTTTTAATCCGCTACGTTACATTTTATTCTGGGAGCAAATAAAGCGAAAGGGTGCTCTAGACAAGAGAGACAGAAGTGGAGAAGCGTAACCTCTTCTTCTCGCCTGTTTTTAATTTAACGCGATTGTTACAATCTTGACGGCGATGCTTGGATAGTCTCGTTCATGGGACGAATTTTCTGCATTTGAACACGCTCGTAGCGGAGGGACAATAAACTTTATTATTGAAGTTTATGGTCCATGAAATTTTCAACTTGGCACACAAGATCGTCATCCGCCTACATCACTTCCGGCTATCGACGCGTACTTCACCGGATCCATTATTCGTTCAAACATCGTTTTTGTTAGGCGAACTGATATTTCGCCGGTGTAATAAATGTACGGAAGAATTTATTTCCGTGTAGATTGTTACTGTTCCTTTTGGCAGAACGTATAGTCAAGTAACAAGAAGTATTCTGAGGAAAAAATCCCTCAATATAGCTCCACCATTTCGACCATCAAAGTGGAATAGCCTTTTAAACTTGAGTGTACAGATCGAATCGAGCCGTCTGTACCGATCACAGAGCTTCGTTAAAAAAACGATTATAATACCAATTACTCGCACCGAAGAGACACCAGACGAAGCGTTTGTCCCGTATCCGCTTAACACTTAATTACGTCCGAAAATAACACACATCGGATCCATATTTATGGCCGCGCGCCCAGTAACATGGCAGATTATCGCCGGGCGTAATCCACTTGATTGAAGGTGGATCCCCAATCCGCTTTGCGAAATATCCCAGCGAGCGATTCGTCCCCGTTAAAAATATTATTCTGACACCTGATGTTCTCCTGCTTCGTTCAACGTGACGGAAAGATAGAAAAAAAAGAAAGTAGCGAAACTTCGCTCTGTCCTGGTACTTCGCCGAGCGAGCGAAGTTCTGCGAAACGTGGCCCGACCATAAAAGCAATCCTTATCTCGGCTTCTCTCGTTGCAGCTGGCTGGGTTGTAAATGGACGATATCCTTGTCCATCTTGACTTACGTGCCGTTTATGGCCGCTCAGTTTTACCCGAAATTCTACACCATGATACCAGCTGGACTGATGGTCGGGATCGGGGCTGGGCCCCTATGGTGCGCTAAATGCACTTATCTCACTGTTGCGGCTGATGCGTATGCAACACTCTCGGATGTCGCCACGGATGTCCTCGTCACTAGGTTCTTCGGCGTGTTCTTCATGTTTTATCAAATGGCCCAGGTCTGGGGTAATCTTATATCTTCGGCAGGTACGTATATTTTGTTGCAGGAACAGTCACGGAATTCCTCCAACTGTGTACTAACTGCAAGCTATAGTCACACTGGTTGAAAGAGTTAGGGAATTGATAATGTGGGCGGTCTTGTTTCATCCACCGAACGAAAGGAATGAAATAAATGTTTGTCCGTGTAATATTAAAATTAATAATAAAACCTAGTTATGTTTGTATAGAAAGCTTTTTTGGAGATTATCTCGTCTCGATTTCCTATAATTGTGAAACGAACGAAATAAATGATAGAAGTAGGAAAAACGGTAACAGAACCGTCGTTCACGAGTTTCTTTTTTAACGACGGTGTATTGGTGTACTTCTGGTGCAATCCCACGGGACGGGTGGGGTTTATTCATGAGCGTTTCGGGTTGATCCTCGGAATTCAAGGATCCTGAAACTTTTAACGTTTTCCCCGGCGATACGGAGGCACGCGAAACCACGGTACACTGGCCCGTCTCACGTTAAGTAGAAAAGTAAAGACGCTGATTCGGGAACGAAATTCCACGGACTTATCGAGTTTTAAATTTCCCGCGCTTCCCGCCGTCTGATTACAGTTACCGATGATTCCAGGCGCACAATGGAAATATGGGTCAGTGGTTTTTTCTTATTGGGAAATCGAATTTTAAAAGTGGTAAGAGTATCGATGACGATATTCATAATAAAATCCACTGACTGTACAGGGAATGTTGATCTTAATATTTCAGAAGAAAACTTTGTTAATATTTTTTTTAGACTCAATTGAACATACGGTAATTGAGAAAACTTCTTCGATCGGGATCACCATAATGGATCAAATGTTGTTCACAGTTGGTCGTTTAGAACTTTCAGACTGCATTTAGGATTAATTGAATATCCGTGAATATTTTCGATATTTTTGTCCACAGTTCTTTCCTACGGAATGGACGCTGTGCCCACGAACACAATATTGAACAGCACCATAGTCGCGGAAGTTTGCGGCGCGAACTTCTGCGGCGCGACATCCGGCGACGCTGAGAGCCCGAAATTGGATCGACCGCCCGAGGAAAGGATCCACCTGATATCCGGCATTTATTTGTGTTGCATGATAGCCGCTTCCTTAATCGTCGCGTTCGGCGTCGATTCCCTCTCGAGGTAACGATTTTACTCGATCTGCGCCAGCCCAGCAATTCCGTGCATTCTTCGGGCGTAATAAAACTGCTCTGGCTGCGAGCTTAACCAACCATTGTTGTCACCGAAGTTAGGTACAGCGGTATTAACTTGCGCCCGTAAATCACGAAACCGTTGCGATTTATAGCAATCGCTTGGAACGAGTTAGCACAAGACTGCTGATTTTATGGGGATTCATATTATTGCAAGGGGGTTTATTTGAAATGGAAATAATAGAATAGTATTTCCGTGCACGAGGCCTCGTTTTCGGTGAAAGTTAATTAGAAAATTCAACAAACGTTGTTTGTGAGTGAAGCCCAATCTCGACAAAAGGCATGGAGCAATTATTCATTATTCCTGTCTGCGTTAATTAAACGATGGTAATTGGATGATATTCCTTCATTTATACTGCGATATTAAATGTTTTGTTTAATTTTCTTAGTTATCTAAATTCCCCGCTTAAAAACATACAATTTAAAAGGAAAGAACTTTTTCCTACTCTTTCCAGTTTCCGAGATGTTCAAAATTTACATCCCTAACATAGCCGATCGCAGCTAAAAAAAGAAGTATTTATCTAATATTTTTCGGAAAACTATCTCCCATATAAGTTTCACTAAAATCGGCGTGTGCGAGTTCGATATGTTTCCTCGTAAAATGTCATAAATCATCCATTATTCACTGTACTTCCCGATCATCGTCAGTATTTACTTTAAGTAGAACAACTCAGTAATTGATCAGACGTATCGACCAAAAGCACGTACAAGATCCTCGACTCCGAATTTCCACAAGAATGTGGTTCCATACGAAGAAAATTGTATCGCACAGTCATGTGTGCATCACCTGGGATCCGATTACACGTTCGGAATTCTTGTTACGAAAATCAGCCTGATCGAAGAAATATTGGAAACCGATACACTCGTCGTATGGGGATTTCGGTACACCGAAACTTGCGGACAACTATACAATATGCCTGGCTTTTCCGTGGCGGCTGAAGAAAAAGGGGAGCTTCCGGTGTATTCACCGTGAACCGTCTACGTCGAGACACATGAGGGAAGTCGACGGAAATCGATTTACGCATGTAACGAAATGCGTTCCGCCGCGTATACCCATAAATCGTTCACAGCGAGTCGGATCCGCTCGCGAATTCGGAATTGATGGGCGGATTAATCCAGAACGGGGAGTGCAATACTGTAACCGTTTGAAGAATCGCGACTGATAATTGCGACGATTAATCGAGATTCTTGAATATATAGTATACAGAGCGTTAATTTTAACTTGACCACTCAAATTATCCCGCTACTATTGAATGTAAAAAAAATTTACTAAATAGAATGCCCTATTCAATAGTAGCGGAAATAATTTAGGTGCTCGAGTTAAAATTTACACCCTGTATATTTGTCCTAATCCTGTGTGGCACGCATCTGGTACACGTTACAGATACAATAGAGGTAGATCCGGTTCTGCCACAGGATTGTCAGGGATCAAGCTGCTGGCCGTGACGCTGAAGTTGTTGAAGGAGAAGAGCCAGTTGCTGATACTGCCGATCATTATATTCATTGGAGCTGAACAGGCGTTTCTGTTCGCCGATTACAATGCCGTGAGTAAATTCGTGTCGTCTTCTTTATGATTTTCAGTGGATCCAGGAAAACGAAATGTTACATTCTTTAACGCTTAACGAGATAGAGTTAGATGTTTGATGTATGTTGGCTCTCAATAACAGACCCACCGACGTTTGTGCTTCAGTCATTTGTGTCCTGCGCTTGGGGGATCAGCAACATCGGTTACGTGATGATCTGTTTCGGTGTCACGAACGCTATAGCTGCATTAGGCGCTGGGTCCATAATGAAGCTGACTGGCCGGAAGGCTCTAATGATATTCGCTTTCTGTCTTCACTTGGGAATCCTGATATTCCTGTTGCGCTGGAAGCCAACACCTGATCGAAGCTCCATGTTCTTCCTGATGTCTGGATTGTGGGGTCTTTGTGATGCTATGTGGCTGGTACAAGTTAATGGTACGTTGATATTTTTTCACGTGATCCTACTTATCAGTGACAGGAAACCGTTGAGCAGGATTATTACTGTCTGGAGTAGTAAGAGTAGCTGTGAATATGCCACCCGTGGTAAATAACTGTCGATAAAAATGAAATTCCTATCTCCTGTTATCTTGTGGTGAGCATTCAATATTTCCAGCGTCCTTTTTCGTCTATAATAGTTGCTATCTGGTGATAAAAAGTAGAGTTCTGTTGGTCATTTAGCAGCAGTGTCCACTTCCATCGATGATAGGTTCGAATGTTATTATCTGCTGGTAAAGACGGTTCCTTGATTCGATGGTACTAACAATTAAAAACGTAGAATTTCCTCTGTTCAGCTGATGGTAACTTTTTCCTTGAGTTTTCGGAAAATTGGCGCTAAATTCGAATATGTAGTTGCATTGCTGTCTGTCAATGATCTCTTAATATTGATTAAGAAATTAGTATAAAGAGACTTTCAAGTGTCATTTTGAAATTGTCTGTACACGCATCTTTAGCTCTATCTGGCATACTGTTCCCTGGCAAAGAGGAAGCTGCGTTCTCGAACTTCCGTCTATGGGAATCCACAGGATCGGTCATCACGTACGCGTACAGTCCTTATCTCTGCACGCAAACGAAACTGTACATTCTGATCGGGATCCTTTGCCTCGGAATGATCGGCTACGGTCTGATCGAATGGAGCGGGAAAACTGAACGAAGAGTCCCCGAACCGAAACCCGATTTCGAGCTAGTGGGGAACGGGGACGCGAACGACACAACGAAACTTTGAAATAATGCATCATTCCGAACCCTTATTGTATTGTATTGTCTTGTCCAATTATTCTTTTAGGTTCGAACATTCTCCTTGCGTCAAGGGAAAATACGAAAAGACCCTACAGTGTTCAGGGGATACGCAATGTGAATTCTGGAAACATCGATACATTGTACGTGTTGAAAACGAATATACAGAGAAATATTTTGTTTTTTCTTTTTGTTAACTCTCGTATTATGATCGTGTAAATAATGTATAATTCCGTTATACATAAGAATCATACATAAAAAATGATACATATAAGTCAGACGCGAGTAAAATTATCTGTATATATACATACAAGAGTCGGCGGAGCACGCAGTCAGGACCTGTAGGTATGATCTTGTTGTGTGATTTGTACCACAATATATGTTTTTATTTTATTCTTGTGGACACCTACTAGACTTTTACACAGGTATTTTTCGCTTAACCGCTAAAGACTTCCATCTTCCGTTCTCTGTTTAAATACGTAGGTTTAATGTTACATCGTGTGGCTAGGTGCTAACATTCAAGCTAAAGCTACGGCTGCTTAATTTAATTGTATACTTAATGTGCATAATTGCCATTCGACTGTACCGGTGTCTCTATGTGATGATGCGTTGTGTACATGTGTATGTATATATGTATCACGTTTACCGTGTGTATGTATATATGTGCGTGGATCTGTCAGTGTTTCACACATCTGTGTGTTCTGTGTGTCGGATGCTGATCGTTTATTGTGCCGTGAATGATCAATTGTCTCCCGTCTTGAAATATCGAAGGCGATTGTTAGAATCAACGAACATTACTTCCGATGTTTCTTTTTTTTTCCCCCTCGACGAAGATATCCTCTCGTCGTTACTGAACGAGTCGCAACACGGAATCAATTGACCCTTGGGGTCTGGTTTCGTAATTCGTCGTTAAGGTTGTCTGATTGTGAATCGTGTGTCAGCTTCACCCTCGTTATGTACAGTTGAAGTTCTGCAGTTCAGTTTATATACTTTATAAAACGTAGTAGGAACTTTGGTTTCGCTGGGCAATGTTTCAGGAGCAGTTTCCTCTTGTTTTTTTTTTTCTACGCTCGCGACGAAAATTTCTTCCTGGCTGGTCCACTCTTCCCACCTCTCCACCCCCCTACGATTTTTCATTTTTATTTCTCACTGTTTCTGAATTATTGTTATCCTTTTTAAATTGTTTATTTACTTTTGCGATTGTTTTTCCATTTGAGACTCGGACAAAGTGACTCGACTCGGAAACTGCTATAAAACATTCGCCCGTGGATCTATCTTCCTTAGAAATATGACACTCACGAATACAATTCACGATTTTTTTTGCTTTTAATACTCATGTTTTATATTTCCGTAATGACCTATTTTGAATATCAATTTCACGAAGAAAATACACATGATTCGTAGACTTTTCTCTCTCGTTATTCAGTGCTTCTCTTTCTCTCTCTTTCTCTCTCTTTCTCTCTCTCTCAATCTCACTCTCTTTCTCTCGTTTAATTTTGTTTCGCCATCGCGCGCCATTCTCCCCCGCTCTTTTTTTTCTCGTATAACAAAATTTAATAACCGGAATATCTCTGTACAAACGTGTTCACTCTTTCTTTTATTCTTTCTCTCTATCAAAAGGACAACATACGCATCTATCCCGCCCCCTTTCCCCCCACCCGCCGCTCCGCTAGACGAAAAATTTTGAATTTTGAACAGCCCCTCGCGTTCACAACACTTCGCGCCCAAAAGCCGTATACCATTTCCGTCATTCTCGCTCGTATATATAATACAAACAACGTTTCGCCGTTCTTTCATTTGTCTCCCGTCACTTCACCTTTTTCAGCTCGCTCTTTTCTTTTGTTTCCTCTTGTATATTTCGATCATTTTGTGTGCTTCGTTAGGAACAGATCACTTTGCTCGTATCGTAACCGTAGCCTTAAGAGTAAACTATATACCTTAAAGTATGCTGGTGTACCTTTAAAAATTTATCTTCTGTTAACCATGTAAATTTTCTTGTTCTTTTTTTCTTCTTCGTCTTCTCATGAATCGTCATCTAGCTATTGCGTAGCTATACGATATTAAAAGTATTAGTAGCATTTTTGTATTTAATGATACAGTCCCTAGGTGTCTCCTTAATATATACACGCTATCCTTGGCGCTCCTAGCTACGCTTCGATAAGGATCCGGTAGTTAATATCGTCGTGCCGATCACAATCGTCTGCCCAAGGCCGTCCTCTTCACCCACGCTTCGAGTCGCGACGCGATCGCTTATTGGCGCGTAAACGCTGGAGGTGCAATGCGCTGGGGCGTGACCAAACGAAGCGTGGGCGGGGATAGCCGCGTCTTCGTGACCTCGAACAGCCAATCGATCTCGTTCCGACTACAGTTATCGTGTAGTGAATAGCCCATTACAACGGGAAGGGTAGTTATCAGATAGTACATGCCGTTTACGTTTCTTATTATGTTTTTTTTTTTGCCTTTTAACGCACACTCATACGTGCTAATTATTTACTCGAGCTGAGATATTTTAAGAAATCGTCGTACCATTATGACAGATGGGTGTCGCCTAGAGTATCGTTTATCACACAAGAAGGAAAAAGGTCCGAGAAAAATTCGGCGGCGCGCTATTTAAACGACTATTTTACCTCCAGTCAGACGCGTGAAAGAAAGACCTTCTCACATAAGCGGAACATATTCAAAGAAACGCTATTTATCACTAACGATTACCGGGAATACATGATTATATCATTGTGGTCGATAGTTAGCTTCATAATCGTATTATCGTTCGTTCTCCAAACGAATTCCTCTGGATGCGTGAAAGTGGAATTTGTCCGCAGAATTGTGGAAACCGTTCCTGGTCGCGTACTATTACTTTTGCTTAACATTCACTGTCCGATAAATATTGAACAATATCATTCTACAGGGAATTCGTAACCGAACAAGTGACAACGAATTTAATTGTTTTACTAGAAATTCATGTCTCAAAGTGAATCTTCCTATAATACTGTGACGAATCTGTAGAACTGCTCAAGACCGTTTCTCCCACCCCATGTCGTATCACCACGCAACTCGATTGGCGTGGGCGGAGCTAATACTAGAGGCGTGGCGAGGATAATCTCTTCCCAGTGGACTTGAGCACAGGATGGATATTGATCCGATTATGTCATTGGCTAGCTGATTTCAGAAAGTAGGACCAGAATTTATCTATTAATTCCAGTCAAGGGAAGAATGAACTTTTCATGTCGCTGGTTCGGTTGCGAATTCCTCGCGACTGAGGGAACGCTTTCGTCTCAATCACCAGCGGGCAAGTAGATCGAACATTTAAGAACGAAAGATGCGTAAATGTTTAATACGTATACCTCGTATATGGCAGATTATTACGGACTAGTGTTTCTTTTTTCATTTTCTATTCTCCAGAAACAACCTCGATCGCCGTTAACATCCCGATTCCCCTTGTTTCAAGCGAAATTTCCGGATTGTCAAAGGGATCATTACTTCCAAGAACGTTAATTTACTCCCTACAGCTTTCACTTTTTTCCCGCGGTTTTCCATTTTATTCCTTTCATCGCATTTTCTTTTTTGTTCCTTTCACCTTCCCTTTCTCAGTCGAACCCCTAAATACGCGCGTAATTTACAGACGAGCACACCCAGAGAACAATGGTGGTTGAAACAGTTTAACGAAGTCCCGTGAGAAAATTGTTTCGTTTTTCTGCTATTTTTCTTCTGTAAGAAAAGAACTAAATTGGACGATCGTTATAAACGATATCTGCGGTACTGTAAAACTTCTCCGTTGCTATTTCATCGACAACTGAATCGTATCCGTGTGTATATGGCATTTGTGAACTGTGATGGTAGTGTGTTGGTACTGTTGCTCCGTTGCTTCAACTATGTTCTTTTCAGTGCGCAATGGACCTCACCGTCCCTTGAATTCCTATAGTCTTGAACGTTTCCTCGTACGGAAAGACATCATTCCATCGTGGGTGATCATATTCCTTTTCCGTAAGAGGCTCGTTTGTGCTTCGTCTAATCGTTCCGTAGACGATATTCCGTGGCTTGGAAGCTTCTCAATTTTACGTACTAGTATTATCTGTGCGATTACTTGCGAGTTGCTTATTCTATAGTTTACGAGTCGATGCGTGGAATATTAACAACTGCCTCCTCGGTGTCTCGACGAACGTTACAATATCACCGTTCCTTTAATTTAATTTAATTTAGAAAAAGAGTTCCTTCGAAAGCCCGCGAAATTTGAAATTTTCTTCTATCATCTGTCGGTAACATCTGTACCGTCTGTAGAGATTATCGTTCATGATTTTATCGACCGTAGACAAGGAGTTGATTGTTCTGCCGTTGGTAAAAGCGTTCATTGGAGCATTTCAGGCTCAGAGATCGAGACGACTGGATCATCAATAATCGACGCTCGACTCCTGTACATCACATATTCGTAGATTAAAGGTATTTACAGATAGGTCTCGTATACGCCTGCAATCACAATGATATCTCTACATCGACCGGCCAGCAGCTGCGTGGAGTATGCTGTTTAAAATTCAAGCCCGGCGTTTGCTGAAAGGCTTGAATCTTTAAAACTGTTCTCTTAACCCGCCGAATTAGATATTAATAACGCGACACTCGGAGACTCGATTTCCACCCTCGGCTGAAATCTCATCAGGTGTCCGGGGCATTTCAATGATTCACCAGAGCATAATTAGGTAATCCAGATCACGCGGTGTTCCTCGGCGCGATCGTAAGATCGAGTCCTTAAAGCTTCACTTTTATTCACTGGGTTCCATTCGTGGGGATGAGTCTTGACAGGACGCCCCTGGGTATTTTTATACGACAGTCTTCGTCATCGATCTCACCGTGTTCTTCAGGGCTTGCCTCCTGTTGCAGAACCAAATCCTGATCACCTCCCTCTCGTATCCGAGACTGTGCGCCAACGTGCTGATTTCGTTACCTGAAAATTGATTCGAACGTCAACCCTAAGATTATTTCTCTTAACATTGTCAACATTATTATTTAAGTTATTGTACTTATATCTCTGGAATTTAACAGTTGTACTCTTTTACTGTACATAGCAAGTCGTTCCGTCCTGACTTTAAAAATAGTGACTTTCCCTCATTCCTCATACCGATCGACCAACACTCCCCTTAACAACAATTGTTATAATAATTCATGACTCACCATTCGGATGAGTATTCCTCCCGAAATGAGCGGTCAGTACCTCCAACGCCTGAGGCGTAAACGAAGTCCGCCGCTTCCGCTTCTTGGTCGGCTCCACCCCGATGAAGTCCGTCAGGTGATTCACCCCGCTCTTGTACCTGTAATCAAACACACTATTTTCCCTCAGGTTCGACAAGAATACTCAGTTTCAAGAAATCAATCTACGGAAACAAAAAACAAAAAAAGTACAGAATATTACTAAAGATCGAGACCAGTATTTATCAAAACACCAATCGGATGACATTCGTACAATTCTTTTAACGAACCAGAATATCGTCTGCCCTCTGATTGTAACGATCCACCCGAGGGGGGGGGGAGAAAAAAAAATCAGGAACCCGATGGACTTCGTCACGGAAACTCAATTTCCATTTGACGCCGGGGCGCAAATACCCGGGCGATCGGGTTCTAATCAAATATTAAAACAAAACAGGAGAACCGGTACCATCCCCTCCTTCCCTGGTCTGTTAACTCGGCAAACTTTCTCCGCGTCAAAGCGCCATGAAATCGAAAGCGGTATCGTAAACACCCGACGGTTCTCCTGTACCCCACCGTTCATCTCCTGGTCCACTCATCCTCCTGCCTCCCCCACTTCCCATTCCACTCGACGAAACAGAAACGAAACTGAATAATAAAAAAATAAACAGAGGACAATAGAAAAAAAAAGAAAGGAATCGGTAACACAGAGGGACAAAGCGTCGTTTACGAGACGTTTGGTACAGAGTGTTGACTGATTGGTCGGCGAACTTTCGCGAGCATCGCGACCGTCCAACGGCGTAAATGAAATTAGCGATCGAAGCGTTGCGGCGGTTGGGGGTGGTTTCGTAGGGGGAGGGAAAAAAGCTCGCGACCGTAAACAGGAAAACTTCCGCCGGGAATCGCGGGTAAACGAGCCCAGCGTACGAATGGGAAAAGGGGAAGGGTCGCGGGGCGACCCGACGCGAGACGGAGGGGAGAGTTGGGTAGGTGCCGCTGTGGGATTTATGTTTTTAATTTAACTCCGTATGACCAACTGTCGAGCGCCGCCGAAAAAAGTGCAGGCCGAGCCATTAGCATCGCGCGGTGATATTTCGTCGAATCCGCGAAAACAATATGCTAATGGAGAACTGGGATGAAGTGGGGGGGTTTGTGAGCGCGAAGAACCGATGCCTCCGAATCTGGGGGTGAGTTCGCGGTAGGGGTGGATATTGGTAGGTGGAACGGGCAGGATGGACTTGTTCGGTATTGGACATATTCGTTTTTGTGTTATTTAACAACTCGACTGACAGAACCACGCGACCGGGATAAGTTGACTGCGAAAGTTTATGCAAATTCATAATTTTAGGTACGAATGTTTGAAAATTAAAATGGGACGGAATTTTGAATTTTGTACCTACTAGAGACTGTAATATGGTAGAATGTTTAATTTATTTCATTTTCCAAGTAGAGGTATGCTAAAAATGGATAGACATCTACAGTTTAGTGATAAGTACACTTTAACTGCCACGTTATCTGAAAGGTGACATGTACATTACAAGAATACTGGATTATTTAAATACTGGATTATATGAAAACGAAGTGTGTCTGGTTACGATCGGCTCTTTTCACTGTGGCAGTTAATACGCTTACTGCATCTCTTTGGTATCTTGTACAAAATTGGTTTCTCATGAAGTAGAAAGTAAAATTTGTTTAATAAAGTAGTTCTTCTTCTTGAATAAATAAACACGTGGCAAACCAGAGAGAAGAAGGGGACTCAAAATGTAATTACTAGTGGAAAATGGTAAAATAAAATTATCACCATTCTGGGAATAATTTCTGCAGAAGTATATTTTTATACACTATTTCATAACAATAGATTGGACGAGAAATTTGTTTGATGTATTAACGAGTTTACTAAAATCAAAAATTAAATTGAACGTCCATCGATTATTCTAGCCGCTTCATTTCGTACAATTATTACCACACTAAGTTTAATTAATTGAAGTTCGTCAACAATACAGAAAAAGTGGAGTGACATTATGAAATTGTTAGAAAAACGTGGCCATCGACTTCTGTGTTATTCTACGCCGACAAAATGTAATGGAAATTAACTGTACCGTAATTACACTTCTCCCATAGCTTTCGTTGTTAATGAAGATCGTGCATTAATTGCGATACCCCGCGTTCCGCCGAAAGATTGATTAAATTCCAACGAAGCGCGCCCCGAAAAACCGGCAATTTAAACACCGTGGTGCAAAAAGAAAAAAAATTCCGAGTGCCATGTCCCTTCAATCTAATCGTCGAGCGAGCAAGAAATTCACTCTGAATCCGACAAATAATCCTATTAACGTGCAAGTTACAAACCCCAATAAACGTGAAAAAAGATGTAGACACGTAAAAAAGATTGTTAAACAGGCACCGATCGCCTCGAGAGCCATTATAAATACCGTGATTGCCACTTTTGCGGCAATTTAATACGTACCGCGCTTCCAATAATCTTAATAAAGCGTCGACTTAAAAAGGAAACGCTATTATCGCTCGTTCGGTCGCGGCGCAGGTGAGAAAAGTCGACGGCAGAGGGGAGTCGTGGAACGGGTGGTTGAGAGAGACGGAAACGGAGGGTTAGCTCGAGGCACGTATACACGCACAGGTGAGAAGCCGACCGAGAAAGAGAAAAGGGAAGACCGGTCGTCGAATAAGGACGCCGCTAAACGTGTTCGCGGGATTTAATCCGCGGAGTTTGCACGCCTCGAGGAGGAACAAAGAAGACAAATGTGACGGGAGAAATTGAACGGCTCTGAAAAGGGAATGAATGCTTCTAATACGCATACACAAAAAAACAGCGATCATGATTTAAAAATTAGTACAAGTACTTGTATGAAACAATCTGTACACGATGAACCAATTCATTTTGTAGGAAATTTAAATTATTAATTATAAATTAGTCATTTTGATTGTTTTGATAATTGTGTCATTGTAATTGGACGCGATGATTAATAGCTGGATCGTGGAATGTTACGGAAGATTCGATTTTTAGGAACAGTTTTAGGAAAATCAGAGTTTAAGGACAAATTTTCTTGATGGTGATTAAAATATTTTTTGTTGAGTTGTGAAATTCTATGGTAGATCAGAATATATCGTATTCTAACCCTTTCAGTATCTTAGAGCCGATATATCGGCTTTCTATTTTTAATATAATTTGAACACATGTAATGACACTTTATTTTTAGAAAATCATTAATTAATTAATTGATCAATTATGTGGCGTACTAAATAATTCCAGGCAGAAAGACTTAACGTACTAATTAAAAGTAGAATATTAATGGTAATAGAGCTTGCAAAAATTACCTGGCGCCGTGACCACCGTGGAAATGAAAAATGCTCGAGTGTTTCGATGTTGATTCAGAAACAGAACTGGATTGAATAGACCGAAAGCGGGTCTTAGTCATTTCGTCGTGAGCGTTTCGTCACACCGACCGCAACTATTTCCTCTAAATCCCCCGCAGGGGACTAACGGAATAAATCAGCTAATCGAATATTTATTAGAAACTCCTTGCGGTTGAGCGTATGCGATTCAGGAGCGTAGGGGGAAGGTAAAGAGGTGCGGACACTGGGGGAAAGAAACCTGCATATAACAAACATTACCACCAAAAAAAAAATACTAACAAATCTAAAAATACCTTCCAAAGAATCGAATCCCTCCTATCCCCAAGTCCATAAAACCGAACCAAGTGCGAGAAAAGCCAATAAAGGACAGTAAAAGGAACGTTGGAAAGGGGGATTCCGGCGTGGGTGTACGACGGAATCACAAGTATTATCGTTTACGTGGCCGTTGCGGGTGTGATAGTAAAAGTAAGAAGAGTGAGAATCGGTGGAAGGAGGAGAAAGGAGGGAAGGGTTTGTGGAAGAGAAAACGAACCGAGGAAACGTTTATGAAACCTGATTTTAATTAGTCCACAGTTTAATTACTCGGCAGATAAATCGTGCACGTGCACCGCATAAACTAGCCGCTTTCATTTTTCCCGGACGCGGCGGCCCGGCACGGTCGCGCCGCTTAGCTCTACGCCGCGAGAATGCGGGATGGGTCATTGTTGCTCTCCCGGGGTCCGTTCGCCACGGCGGAAAGAGAAATGACCAGCCGCCGCCGGCTTTAACCGTCATCGAGAGTCGGCTGGATAATAGTCAGTCGGTTTACACTGCCGTCACGTCGGTCAGTAATCCTTTCACGTCGAGGCGCCCCCTCCCCTCCTACGGGGCCCCATGGAGCTGTTTCATTGAAATACGAAATTTTTACGGTGGTCAGAGGGGGCCTGATTGACGGGGCATTGGGATCGATCAGGGAACGATTGGTATCCTCGATCGACGTCTGAGATCCTGACACTGGAGAGTCTGTCTTTGTTTTGTTTGGTTCATGGTTCGGTGTTACCGTAAACTGTATTTCGTTTGTTAGCCAGGGTGATCAATTCTCGTGCGGTGTTCAGGTGACCCTTTGTTGGGGTCTAACCCTCGGGCACTGTTCCCGAATCTGTTAGATTGTTACTCTGAGGATTAGATTGAACCGAAGTTCTGTTACAATTTGAAAAATTAAAAATACACTACCATTTAAAATACTATTGTACAACGATGTCATAAACGTAATAGTGCTAAAAATAATTGGACTGGCAAAAGTTTATGCGAGTTCCGAATTTCAGATACCAGTATCTAAAAATTCAAATGGAGCAGAATTTTGGACCTGGACTGGAGGATTTACTCCATTGATAATAACACTCAAACGGTATTAAAAATTGGAACGTTTATTTTATTGCATAATGAGTTATTGTTCCATCAGTCATGAAGTTTGGACCCATACATTTTGCCGGTAACGTATGTTGTCATTATTAATTTCAAGTTCATTAAATCAATGTCGAGTTAATTAAATAAAATTGTCTCCAAATCAGACAAATGTTCATTAAAAGAAAGCAGACGATTTATCAAGCGTCGCTACAGTATTATTTCCAATATAAAGATGAAAAAGAGGGAAGAGGGGAAAAGGCTTTCATTTTTTGTTTTATGAAAGTGAACACGTTATCAGTAACGGAATCATTGAAACGGGACCGTTTCGGGCAATAATATTGCCGTGGATGATACCCGGCACGGTGGAGCGTAGGTGTTAATGTACAGTCAACAAATCATTTTGTTCGTTTTGGGTAAAATCTGTTGATGCTACGCCGCGGGAATGCGGAATGGGTCATTGTTGCCGGCTCGGCCGCGGAAAGAGAAATGACCGCGTGCTCCTGTCATCGAATCATCCGGTTCACGGTCGAGATACATGCCGCATGCGTCGATACGCTGCCCATGTGTCCACGTATATTCATTTATATGTATATATACATACACACATATATATATATATATACATATATGTTTTTTCCATGCACAATTCTATACTTTTCCGCGCTTTTGCTGGCAATAAAACGGCGTCACCGCCGGGTAAAATCGAAACCATAAACCGTGTTAGGCATCGGCGGCTCGTAAAATTTCCGGGATTCACGCTCTTAGATCGTGCTACCAATTAAACGTGGGATCGTTTAGCGATCCAAATATAAATCTGAATACATAACTAATTGGCAATCGCGGCGATAAACGGGGATTTATACGGCTACTATTGGAGGGAAAATTGTTCTGTGGACACTAACTCCATTCGTCCATTAGTGGACGGTAAAGATAAGGATATATTCGATTACTGTTATCATTTCTAGAATAACGAATCTTTAAATAGTAAAATATACTATTTGTTACATACAAAACGACTTTCTTTATACTTAATTTCATTGCTTTAGTAATTAAGGAAAGTGAATGGTGTGATTTCTGAGACAGTGGACCTACAATACAACTACCAAATATAAATCTGCAACATTTTTACGCGATCGTATCCGTTCGTTATGAGCTGAACCGGTATTCAGTCGACGCGAGGCCAAGGATGAATCAAAGTTTGAGTTTCGCTAATTACAGATCCTGATACACCGTTCGGAGAAAATTGCCGGCCCTCGGTGTGCGTGTATCGGGTGCACGAAGGCTGGCAGCCGATATCCCGAAGGCTGGAGAAGCCGATAGGCGGACTTCTTCTCGCGACACGAATGGAAAACCTACTGGCGATGCCTGTTAAGCGGGGCACAACCACGGACCGCCGCCGATCTCGGTAACGGTTCTCCCCCCATTCTAATTAACATTCCGCGTATTTATTAGACGCGGATCCGCAATTAATCAGGTGGATTCAATTAGCGAATTACCAATTAGCACGCACGCGTTCACACGGTCTCGGACACCGGTTGAGATCCTGTTGGACGATTGGCGGAATATAATCATGCAGCACGGATCGCGGCCGTTCGAACCGATCGTTGGACGCGATCGAAGGATTTTTCCTCGATACTTTCGCTCATCTAGAAATCGTATTCCAATCGGATTTAACTGTCCTCTTGATTGGAGGTACACTAATACCACGTTCTACGTTACAGCGATGCCAAATCGTCGCTATCCTAATTACGGTTTTGTTTTAAGGCTCCCACAAACCAACGGCGATAGATTTTTTATAGATAAATTTTTGCGGAAATTTTTCATGTTGGTGTGAACAGTCACAATGCAGGGATGACGTCCGAACACTCAACGAGGATTTTCTGTATGCAATAAATGATACAAGGCACTATGAAATTGTTAAACGTCTGAAGTAAGTATTGTTTAGGAAATATTAAAGCTCGATGGATAACGCTTATGCTACTATGAAGTAGTAAATGTGACCAAGAATAGTCGAATGAAGAAATACAGACCAAGGTGATTGTGATAATAAGTGGTCAACATTAAAATATTTCTAGATTTTCTAGTTACTCGTGGTTTGGGTATGGATCATTTTTAATCGAGCACACGATATTTTTGATTCATAATACGGGGAAATTGACCTTAAAGTTTTTGAAAACAATTTCTACTGAAGTACTAGGTTGCAACTCACCTCTTTTCAGCCTCTTTCATCCACGCCTCGAGGACCGGCTTTATTTTCTGCGCGCTCTTTGGCGTGATGTCCAACTTTTCGAATCTAGAGCCAACAATATCTTATGATTCGTGATCGTAATGCGTGGTGCATGAAACTCGGGTTGAAAAAAAAAGGAAAAGATTTCACGACAAACGCGTAAAGACGAAAAAGTGAAATTTCATTTTACAGTTTACGTCACACATAAATTTCATGGTATTATAATTGGACTGCTGATCCTCGTACATTTATAATACATATATTCGCATTTAATTAACTGTTTCGTAATACCTGAACATAAATCATTAACTGTAGCACATAATTTTTTTTACTGCCGAACCAGAAGATCAACTATATTAAGGTAACTCCGTTGTATTTAAAAATCACACGGAAACAAGATATTCAATAATAATTAGTATAATCATTACGTCGACCATATGGAATTTCTATTTCAACATTGTATTACCTATGCACAGGTAACTACCGTGTCAATAAAACTTTCACCTGCAACATACTGAATACTACCAACAGAGAAAATAAATTCCTGCGTAACTTTCAACATTGCAAATTACTCCATAAAAATGTGACTCTGTATAAACACCTGCAGTCCATTTATAATAACTTCAACATTTAATGAGTTCCATTGAAGTAAATAACAATTAAATAGCCTTATTATTTCATCGAGGTGTCAAATCGAAGTTCGTCTTTACGTTTTTATTCGACTAAAGGAGCACTAAGTGGCATGCATTGACTCAAAAAACAGGACATTGACAATGCGTGCATGCTTAAAGGTTTTGGTGATGCCGTGTATGATGTTGCCAACGCGCTTCGATAGTCCCCCCTCTCCCTTCGTGGTTAGAACAGCCGCGAATAAGTGATTTTCGGATCCACGAGGTACCCCCTCGACACGTTATACGTCTTTGGCCGATACACATCTGGCATTTTCTTTTTCGCGCGTTGGCGACATCATGCCCAAGTTTGCCAATGCCCTGGCTCGAAGAGATAGCTCGTTGAAACATCGTAAAACAAAAGTGCTCCTTTCTCTTTTCCAAAAACGGAAGTTTAGGAAATCAGCGAGAGTAACTTTGCAGCTATACCCAAATATATGGCCCCGTTGTCTATTCGAATCGGCGAAGAATCGCAGTGTCATCGACACGACGGAGAGAGAGAGCGACAGTTTTTTCGAACATCTCGACAGACAAAAATCTCGTATAGGAATAATAGAGCGAAAGAGGCCACGAAGAAGTAAAATGAATGAAAACGTACGCTCTCCTCGGCGCATCAAAGGTAGAAGTTAATTCGTCTGGGATACATTGTATATGGTTTATCGTTTGTTCATCAGATCCGTCGTGGGACAATAATTTATTTATTTTTTTTTTTTTTCGTGACGACGTGGACACGACCACACACGCCGGCCCATGGTCTCGACACGGATTTTTCACATGCTTGGGTATAACTGCCGGAGGATTTGACCAAAAAAGTTCTCGATTCTTTGGGTTAACAATTGAGTAGCATGAAGGGGTTGAACGTACGTAGCTTGCTGAGAGGCAATCTGCGAGGCAGCGTACATCTGGGAAGCCAGGGCACTGGGGAACAATCACCAATGCTTAAATTAGTCGTCACGATAAGAATTCTAGGGTTGCGGAGAAACAGAGTTTCCACGCTGCCCCACCGGCGTTACCACGGTGGTTCCTTTCGTTCTGGCATGAGAGAGTGAAATAGAGAGAGATAGATAAGAGTGCTTCGACGACGTTTAGAAATCTTTGGAGGAACCAACGTGGCAGATCAATATATTTCTCGTATGGAACACGATTGGGAAAGAAAATTCACGTTCTGTCAGAATAGTCAATGTGATACAGTATTCCCTCCTTATAGTACACGATGTCGGGCTGATATCGCGTTTATAGAGAGCATTTGGGCAGGATTCTGCAATTCTTTTCATTGGTTAAAACCTTGTTTCCATTCGCTGCTTTTGTTATTGGCTAGACTGAATACAAGGCATGCCTTCTGTCAGTTAGAGAACGATATATTGATTATAAACAGGTCAATGAAGAGAGATTATAGGGAGGGAATACTGTATATTCGAAGAGTACTTGTTCTCCTCATGACAACAAAGAGAAATACCTAGAGAGCAGCGTTAGATTGTCCGGAATTTAAGTTATACATTTATTTTAACTATTGTACTAATAATGAAGGTTCAAATAAAGATTTCGTTTCATATATTATAATATCCCAGCACAGTTAATATTATTCCTTCACTGTTTTACTTCTCCTTCACTTGAATTCTTGAAGGAACAGATTTTTTGGAAAATCTTCCAGTGGATTCTGTAAACGTGGACCGTTTTATAACATAAAAATGAAGACTCACAGTACAAATAAATTGTACTATACTCTTTGCAATTATTTGTCACATATTTCCAATCGTATACATTAATTAGAAATATGTGACAGCAAAATTCTGCCAGTGACCTGGCACACTGTGTCGTAGACTATCGTGTTGCTTTCTAGTTTCTCATCAGCGGCGTCCGTTTGATTCGCGTTGATAGCGTACACGGCAAACGGTTACACACTCACCTGCATATGGCGCTTTGGCTGTAAGCTGGCCCTTCCTGCGCGCTAAGGGCCTGACCCACCTGGGTCTGCGTCAGACCCAGCGACAGTCTACGAATCTTAAACACCTTCGAGAACTCTCTCATCTCCTCCAGATTGATCCCGTCCACTATGTTGTTCGTGGCCTCGTTGATGGTAGGCTGATCTGTAATTAATGTTAACGAATTTTGAGTTTACGATTACATTGAAAAGTCAGAATTTATTGTTTTCATAAACAAGAAGGTTCTTTGCTGGATCCTATGGGTCAAGACTGGCATCTTCGACGATATATGGGAAAATCTATTGTCGATAAACGCATATCTTTCTTATGTAATGACTCCAGCGAAATAAATGTATCCTGACGATTCGTAATTTCCCACACGATCGAACAATGACTATCAGCGGCATCCATTGCCCCAGAAAGAGCAACGGGTAAGGCCTCCGTGGATTAAGAGTACAATCAGAATATGTTCGCAAAAGAATTAGGCTTGAGTCGTAATCGATCCATCGCGGATATGTACCGAAGCTCTGGGCGAGAAGCTGCCTAATGACATCAGGCGGCTTCGTTAAAGCAGCTCGAGGCTACACCGATTTCTCCCGTAAATCTGTCAGCCCCCGAATGTACACGCACGCACAACGTAGGTGCGCCCCCTCACATGCCCCGGCAATCTCGACCAGTCCGCCTGGTTTCCGCGGCGAGCAATAAACTTCGAATCCTTCTTCCGTGGCGCGCCGCTTCTGCGATCATTAATTTCCGATCGAACGCAGAACGGCGTCGTTCCTCGCCGCGCAAAAACGCAAAATCCTCCGACTCTCGCGATTCAAAGCGAACGCTCGTTCGTGGAATCGGTGAATATTCGAGACGAAATCAACATTTCAATGACGTGATTCGATCGAATTCTTTCAGACTTGGAGCGCTTGGAATTTTTTAGGAACCCTTTTCGCGAGAGACACTTGATGACTGTTATGACGTTACACTAAATAATCAACTGTATTGTCTAATTGTTGTTTCTTTAGATTGACCACACAAGAAAAATTAAAACAAACATAGTAAGTACTAAGAGCAGTGCGATCGTGTTCCTGCACACTGAAACCGGTTAATCTGTCTATTATTTTATATTTGAAGATTTTTAATAAACTTTTGCCAAGGAGCTATGCCAGAATAGATAAAATACAGATATAATACGATGAAAATTCTATAGACCCCGTCTTTTAATTCCTGTGAATGACGAATAAGGAACTAGATACGGCAGTGAAAGACATAAAAACATGTCTCCTAGTCTGAATTTTATGGAGTTCTTTGTTGATTTTAGTGTAAAATTTTCATGGAACTTCTGTACCTTCGCTAGGAGTAAGCTTGAAATTATTTTCGTGGCGTTAGGTTAACGAAGACAGGTATAACGGGCTGGACATTGAACTCGTTAGGTTCTAGACACCATCGATTATTCCACCGTCGTTGTGGCACTCGGAGCAACGATTGCGAATTATTAAAATTATTGTCCGCCGGCTGGGTGTTACGTGCGCGCCGTCGGTATCTTTATGGCTTCCCAGAAGGCAGCAAGGAACGATCTAATACACCGTAATGAGCCGAGCATTGTACGATATCCTATTAAGATTATTAAGCGCTTCATAGCGCGGCCAGAGTCTCGAACATTATTAATAATAACTTATTATTTATCAGCTCCGACCGTGCGTTAACTGTTAAAACGGCGAGAGACGGAAACGTGATTCGAGGTAGGTGGGCTGCGAAACGTGGTTAATATTGTGATGCGTGGTCGAAAGATGTAGTTAATGTAAATAATTTGTAACATAAAGTCTATAAGACATTTACAAATTATCCAGTGTCAGCGTAATGTCACACAACCTTATTAGTAACAGTAAACTAAAACCACCAAAATTAAAAATTTTAATCTTACATGTTCACCTGGTCAGTAGTGAACAGTATATACAAAAAAAAATTTTTTTTAAACTTGAGATTAATTTAAGTAGTACAGGGTCAGGGACTTGGACCAAGGCCAGTTGAAGAATTAGTGATTCCATCAATTAATAAAACAGTGCACGATGATTAAGGGAATAAGAATGCAAATCAAATCTTACTAGGTGAATCGTTCAGCAGATCGTCGTCCTCCGTTTTGGGACTGTGCATGCTGCTCGGCGAGGCCTTGACGCCGCTGGCTCCGCTTGGTCCATGGGTCGTCGTGATCGTGATCTCCCCGTTGCTTGCCGCGAGTCGGTTCAAAGCTGAGGCCGCGGATACCACGGACTCGTTCAAAGGCGACGATTGCTCGGGTCTCTCTCTGTGATGCTTCTCCGTCGGCTGTGAGGGACACACCGGCGGTTAGTTACGGATCAGTTACATCGACCGAGGAACGACAATGCTTCTCTACCACGCCAATTATGCACTTAATAATGAGACTCCCCCTCCGGGGTTCGAGACACTTTAGAGTCTAATTAACGGAAGAAACGGCGGCGGCCACGGAATACTATCTTAACGAGTCTTGGTCGGTATCGGGAATTATTCTGGTTGTTTCACTGATCTTAAGCTTCACGGGGACCACGGTTCCGATCGTATATCGTCCGTCTGTTTCGAGAGTCGATTCGTATTGTTATAGGGATATAGGTAGGGAGCGTGAAACGTGGCGATCGAGTCCAGTCGAGAGGAGAATGGGGAAGGTGGAATGTTAGTTATCGAGGAAATAGAGGTATATGGAAATTCTGAAGGAAAGAATTCTGTCTCGAATCGGGACTGACCCGAGAGAAGTAATAATTGAGGCGAACTAGGGAAATGCTGGGATATTGATTGTTTTCTGTGAGTGCAGTTTATTGGGTGGAATGAGATTTAGATACTCTATAAAATGGTTCACCTTTAGTGATTACCAACTATCAAATGGAATCAGCTGAAGGAAGCTGCGGTTGGTCACGGAAGCATCCGACCACTCCAATTACTCGACAAATACTGTTCAAACTGAAAATTCTTAAGGGGATAGTAAATTGTATTTGAAAATTGATTTTAAAGAAGTCCTAAGTAGTTTACTTTGTCGTAAATGAAATATAATGAACGATAATTACTGAAGCAACATTTTATAATCCATTATTTCTAATATTGCTGTTATTTAGCTACTTTTTGTTATGTATTCCTTGGGATATGAAGTAGTTATGGTGTCCAATTTTCAAAGTTCCTTTCCTGAATTCTGACATCCAACTTCAAGTGTATTTTATATTCGGCATTAACTATTTCAAGTTACATTTCTCTACCTTGATCAATTAATCATTTACTGCTTAAGATGTACAGTAGCAGCGTTATAAATAGCAACACAGAACTACGATGGTATGAATCTTTCGGTATGTCCCATGAAAAATTAATGCCCAGAACGTACGAAGCATCCTATCCTAATAATAACCGAATTCCTGTGTTAAACAGTTAAGTCCCAGTGACAATTTTAGAAACGTGTCACTGAAGTGTTCCAACTAACTGGGTGCGGATACTTTAATTCTCAACTGCAGCTCCATGTTTAAAGCAACACCGTTTGCCCCCACGGTTCACACAATTATGCATTCACCGCTGATTAAATATATATGTATAGCGTACTATTAATAGGATTTAATGTCGATACCGAAGTTCGTTAAGCCAGAAAAGACGGTAAATTATTCCGTTCCGTAATCAGCGGTTCACGTACCGTGTAATGATTCATGTGAGAGCTGTGTCGATGGCTGTGTTGCTGAGGCGACGTCGTCAGAAGCGGTTGCTGAGAGGCTTGGGCGGCCTGAACCGCCTGTGCAGCCTGTGCCGCCTGTGCCTGGGCGGCCTGCGCCACCTGGAGTAGCTGCTGCGGCTGCATCGCGCTCAGAAGCTGCTGGCTGGCCGAGCTATTGCCCAGAAGGTGGGGCAACGCGGCTGGATTCAGTCCTAGACCGGACGCTAAACTGGGACTTGTTGGAACTATGGTGGGGGAAACAGAAAAGGTCCACTTTCTACTTTCTGTGACTTGACACCTGGATGGGAAAACTGGGCTGAGCGCACTTGGGGAAGTAAATATAGGGGAGTTGGGGCTGATCAGAACACGATGTAGGGGTTAAAGAAATTCCTCATTGCTAAGATAGCTGAATCAGCCCTTCCCTGACTGTCTAACATGAGCTTTGCAACTTGCGCTCGCCTACCCTGTCATAGTTGGCCTCTTACTCTGTTCTCTTATAGAGAGTGAAGAACATTTTCAAGAACATTTGAATATAAACACCACTAATTTTCAAGCAATACAAATTGATAGCTGTATCCAATGGTCTATGTTAATTAATTACTAAAAACACATTTCCTAAGTAGAAGCTATGCACCTATACGTGTGTGACAAAAGTATTAATTCTGCCTCTCTATACGGTCACCTCTAGACCCCGAATAGTAGGCTACCGAACTACTAAACAGGTATTCTTGCATACGTCATTATACTACCTGTGAAGTCACCGTTGCTAGTCGGCGTGTTCAGTATGTTCTGAGGCTGGGCGATCGACTGAAGATTGGCCAGGGTCGTGGAAACCACCTGACCGTTGCTCAGCGCCAGGTTCACCATCTGATTGTTCGTCACATGGCTAACTGGGATGGTCAGTATAGTCTGCGAGGCGATTCCTGTCGGGGACAAAGAAAGGAAAGTCACGGCTAGATTAGAATCTAACGAAGTAACGACGACAGGGAACGAGGTCGCTTGATAATTCTATCCCCTTGGGCGGTCGGTGGGGCCGGTTGTATGAACGTGTCTCGAATCAATAGATACTTCATTTCCATTATGAACGTAGCCCACGCGTCGTTGATCCAGGAAGGGTAGTAAAGTTATCAGAGTCTCATAGAGGGATTATTAGGCAACCCATAGGGCAGGTAACCTCGCAGGCCAGCGTAGTTGGCAAACTATTATCGTCATCTTAATAGTGGGTACAGGTACCGGCACTGGACTAGGCTGCGAGAAGGACGCCTAATCATACTTAGAATAGTTTCGGGATTACCTCCAGCTCCGCTAATCTGATTACCCTGTACACGCGCTTAATATGATTACTGATCATGAGTACGTACCCGTGTTGGTACCTATAGCTAAGCTAAGCAAATCCCATATTCCGAACAGCCATAAAAGTTTCGCGTTCTGAGGTAAGGTCAACTGACAATCCGATTACAGTTTGGTTCAAGCGATATTTGATGGTGATATTCTCGCGGTCCGAGATTCTTTTATTGCAACGTCCTGAATGGGGTCTCCCGTGTACCATTTCTGTGACACCTTAAACTATTATGGTTCCGAGATTTTTCCACCTGATTAAACTGACCATTCCATACGAGTTTGAAATAGTAATTATCTGAACAATACTGAGATGCATTATTTACTCTAAAAGAAATAGATATATTCATGAGTTAAAATATATTTCATGAACGTCTGTTCTGTTACTTTCTAATGAAACAGGATAATAATTAGATACTACTTAAAATTGCAAGAGGATACTTCATATGCACTGATTTAACACAATTAAGAGATAATTGAAATGATAGAGTAACTCATTTCCTTGTTCACGTCACGGTCTAGATTCCGAGCGTAAATCGCAGATCCACGGTTGACCCACATCTTTTTCCAGCATGTACGTCAGCTAAAATAATCTTCATCTGACAAGCCTCTGATAGCTTATTCTTACACGATCTTCTGAAACATTCGACGTTGTCTTATTTTCGTTGTCGCGGGTGCAAGAACTCAATCGCAGTCCGCTAAAAGCCATCAATGATTCAATCACTGTTGCTTTTGATCGCGGTCAGATACTCGGCGAAATTATTCGCGGCCTTGTTTATCCGGCCACCATCACCGTTTTTACACCACAACTTCGAAAATCCGTTCGTTCATTCTCGATTTAACCGGGCCAAACTGGCGCAAAAGTTCAGGGGGATCGAAAAAGTTACGCTCAAGCAGCACGTATTTAACCATTTCCTGTGTTCTGCATAATTAAACCTGGAGCCACGGGGAATATCAACCGTACAAACTCGTCCGTGATCCGGGGGATCCATTGATCGGTCAGTGGACACCGAATGGATCGAAAGTGGTATTATAATCGAAACGGTTTTCTATCTGTTCTACTTGCAAAAAATGAATCGATAATGTGCACCCAATTTAGTCGCGTGGAATCGTTTTTTTTCGAGAGAATTTAATGGAAAAATTCGTCAAACGTGTGGACATTTGAATATAATATGAGTATGGTAAAATTGTGTTAATGATTATCTTTTCCCCGTATTAGTTGTTCAAATATTGACAGAGACGTATACGATGATAATTACAAGTCTGTATTATACATTTAATTAGGAGACGAGAAAAATGAATAACGTGAAATATGCAGAAAAATTAAACTAAGAGTAACAATGAAGAATCGTAATTACCAGTGTACAAGGTGAGGCTCAGCGAGAGAAACCCGCTGTTTGAAAACCTTGATGTGATTATTTGGATTTTATACATTCACAACAGATGGAAAAGTGTAAAAAAAAAAAAGAAACTAAAACATAATTCTTATTAAAGTATAATACAGAGATTATTTCCTTCTGTATTTGGTAAAACCATTCGTTGAGGCAACATTAAAGTAATTGTTGGCTTTAATTATTCAAAAAAAATTATAATCTTGTTCCACTAAAAAAGCAATGAAGATACTGTGCTCGAAACACAACGAACTTTTCGTACAACTGAATACAAGGAATCGCCGTGTCATCATACGACAATTTTGGCATCAGGCCTGAACAACTCTTGAGCGTCTTTTTGCGACGTCGATCAGGGCTCAATCGAGCGTTAGTCAGTTAGGATCGAGTCAGCCGAAAAGCAGTGCAAACATTATTTGCCACCACGTAACTCGTCATCCTACCACGACTGGTCCATATCCACGAACTTCAATCCACTTAGGCGGACTCCCAAAGTTCTCCTTACCCTCCTCTGCTCCCACCCACCCCCAGCCCTTCCTTCGGTACCGTCGACCATCCCTCTCTTTCTCTCCCTCTCTCCCTTCCAATTGCCAGAATAGGAACCCAACTTGGTAGAAACGAAGTTAGCGCGAACCGCAATCGATATAATAGCGGCCGAATCCGCGGAGCTGTGATGTCCAGCCAGAGAGTACTATGGTCAGGGCTGGGCAGGGCGGGACGGTCCCGAGGAGACGAAGGGGGAGTTATTCGTGGGTCTGGAAAGGGGTAGTGAGACGTTAATTATACATTGAAATTAGTTGCAGAGTTTGCCCTCTGCTCGCCAGGCTAGTCTAGGACCACTAAGTATGGACGACGTGGCCGAGCCTTAGTCCAAGCCTGGTCAGAGATAGTCGATATTATATTATATATATATTACTCTGTATATATATGCAGCTACATATATATCGTCACATCTTGATTGCACAACATTATGCGCCGGCACATCGTGTAGATTTCACGATGAGCCCACTCGTACTGATTTATGCCCACGAAATTCGAAGGTACTTAGTCGGAGGGTTATTGTTCGAGATTTCTTGCCCCGGCGATACCCCGGGACCGGACTATCTAACGCCTGGGACCTTTATCTCGCCAACCGTTTAATTAAATTTCGCCCGTAAGGCTTCGGCTATTAGCGTCGAACGTTTTAAAGAGAATGGGGATGATAACTCGAGTCGAAAGTATCGGAAACATTCATTAACGGGGATTTGTTTCATACGGTGAACACGGTTGTTAATGCGTGTGATAGACACTGTACTATTACTGACTAGATTGATGGAGTAATTCACAGAAAAAAGAATTCAATGAAATACTTGTTCCCTTATTGATAAGTGGCACTTCGTGGATGGAAAGAATTGTTGAAACGTCTTATTTAACTGTACTTTTACAATTATTTTACAATGAACATTTCCCTGTAATTTCATCAGGAATTGATTCCACAATGTTCAGCTCAAAGAATCCGTGTTCGGTTGAAGGCGTCAGTCCCACGACATTAGCTCTCAAAAGGGATAATTTTCACAAAACGAGGCCATTTGAATTTCTACTTTACAACCGTTCCAGAGTCACGGTATTGAAAACGCCTTGAGGAGGGCCACCATCGATTTACGCGACACGTTCACCGTTGACGGCCTTATTACCATCAAGAGGAGAGAAGTTTTGAATGGGTGTCAATCAACGGTCATTTGGAAAGCTGAAAGGGCGCGGATACATAAGAAACAGAAGGCTTACCTTGCGACGTAGGGATAATAAGCTGAGCCCCTTGAATGCCTTGCACCAATTGACCGGACGTTAGGACGAATTGAGGCATTGCGACCGGTTGCGGCTGAGATAATAGTTGAGGTAATGTCGCCATTGGCGCCGAACTTGGTGGCAGGAGGTGTGGCGCAGCTGTCGTACTCGAGGCTGTTGGTACTGTGCCACCTGAACATCAAGATTCATGGTTTTAAAATGATAGCCGGTCGCTTATCTTTATTTTTAAACGGTCAGCCTGGAATCACGTTCTATTCCTTACCACTAGACTGCGGATTTTATGTATTTATAATCTATAGGGGTCTGTAAAATACAATAAAGGACAAAACTTTCATCGGATCCAATAAGTTTTTTAGTTTTCTTGGGACCGAATATGATACTCGAAAAAAGAAAGAAATGTCTACATTTGCTCTTCTCTGTTTGAATTGCTTTAGAAAAAATCATTTTGCATAAAAATCCACAGTCTACTTATTACCGATATGTATGCGATAAATCAGCATCGCTTTGGATTCAAATTTTCGTCTCGAATCAGAGATCCTTTCTACGCGTGAGGAGCATCGTATGAAATTGTCGTGACCACGGTTGTTCAAGGGTGAGATAATTAGTAGCACGGAATAAAATTGAAAGGAGGGTAGTCTCAAATTTCACGTCACTTATGGCCACGCGTTTCCATTTGAATCGTCAATTGGAAATCCTACCGGATGAGCTGACAGTGAGATTCAAGGGCGTGTTGATGAGCTGATTGTTACTCAGCCCCGTTGTCATTCCCTGGAGACCCGCGGCTAGTGAGGCGACTTGCGGAAGGTTTTGCAGGCTCGCCAGATTCTGAAGGCTTTGCAAAGTTACCATCCCGGCCACTGACAGGGGAAAAAAGAATAGAAAGTTTTAGGATCCGATCGAATTCTAGATAACAGCTGTAAAATATGGGGCTCTTATGCTACGTGTCCACTTGATATGTTACTACCGATAGGAGAATTTATTCGTGGACACTGGCATAAAAGAAACAACCTAACAATTCCATGAAGTATACTCTCTAATACACTCAGGTTTTGAAGCTACTCTCGGGAGCAAACGTTTCTGTGGACACGTAGCCTAAGATTCTAAAAAGTCTCAGTTCCATTTGAAATTTTGAGTAGATTGATTCTATAACTAGAATGTTAAATCAAAGCTAAGATTTACTTCGTTCTCTGTCAATTATCCTTTTGCTTTATGTTACGAACGTATGAAGAACAGCCAGAAAATATACTACAAAGTCCGAAATCGGAACTTTTCTTGTAAAGTTTAATTTCTATTCAATTTATTCTTATTAATGGTCAGAACTTCTACAGCAATGTAACACGGCAAGTGTCGCAGTCTATTATTTTTATCGAATATATCGTGGATTTAAAAGGAAACCGTACTGATTTAGAAAGAGGATTGAAAAGTTTAAAAATTTTGTAGAATCCTTTTTACTTAGTGTCTGTAGACGATCCCACTCACTTGTCCCATTAAGATGTGCCTGCGCCACTGCAGCCCGTTTCGCCTGGTGAAGATTTTCAGGTGACGGGCTGCGTCGCCTCTTCCGCGCGTTCCTCAGGTCATCCATCATCATCTGATGCTCATGGAGCGAGCCAATTGTGGTCGCCGGCTCGGGACTGCCAACGCTACTCCTGTCGCTGTCCTGCAACAAACACAAATACGAAATGGTTAGCCATGTGTCAATTTAATTAATAATATCAAGTCGCTCGAGACCCTTCGTTATCTTTCGCTCGAGTCGAGATTCGAAGGTCTATTGAATGTACAGGGACATAAGAAAAGGGTATAAGACTTGTTTACAATCTCTGTTTAGATCCCCGATGAAAATATCGTATATTGCAGGACGAATCATCGATGCTTCGTGAATTCGAAAAAAAAAATTTTTTTTCCAGATTCATGGAACTCGAAGAGTGGGAACACGGAAAAATATTATTAATTGCGATTGAAGGGGTTGAGGAGGGAGGCGGGCGGAGGTGAAAACGAGAGAAAAGTCAGCGCGTGGCTATCGGCAACGAGAATGGTCATACTTTATTTCGTTTATTACGCTTGCGTTTGAAACCTTGTATTTATACCATATTGATAACGATTATAAAGTATTGGCCGTTGCGATGGCAACAAGCGTACCTCGCGGAGTGCTTTCGGCTATATTTTTCGTCTGAAACTCTGATCGCGTGGCGGACCCGTTGACGTCCCGGAGAATTAATAAGCCGAATAATAGCTCTAGGAAAGCTTGCTCGTGTACAGCGGTTGTCAATCTTTACCGAACCACATTTTAATTATTCTCGATCAGAACTTACTGGTAAAAGATTTTGTTCATCTGTAATATTAACTTTTGAGATTGCTCTTTTTAATATAATCGAGCTTCTATTACATCTACTAATACCCATTATTTCACACATTTTCACATCGAATGTTTCGTTTCACACCAATAGAATGATTCCCCTCGCCTCCATCGACCGCATTAAATTTCTCCGCCACAGCCCTCCAATTCCATAAGCAACCTGCACACCAACAGAGCACTCCCCGTCCAGCCATTAAAAAAAATACACGAGGCTTCATACACTAGCACCCTCTTTTTTCCTCCTTACTGACCCGAAATCAATCGAACGGTCGCGCGCGCAAAGGTTTTAACGGAGAGGCCGGGCAATCATTCTCGTCGAAATGCTCAATTATACGCGCGTGGTTCGTTAACGTACACCACGCTTTTTATTGCGGACGGCCACGTTTAACGCTGCAAAATTGATTAATAATCATTCACGGTCCAACTGGCCGACGTTGAAATGCTTCGATACGAAATAATGGCGGGTGTAGACGGCCCTCCAGAAACAGTGGATGTTGAAAAAAAAAAAAAAGGAAACGTTGGAGTGGGGAGCAATAAAACCGCGGAACGAATCATCGAGTACAGAAAAATCGACACGAGTCTACGGAATTTTGGTCCCATAATAAAGCTTCCGCTTCCTCCGATCGGCTCATAATGCGAGCTGGGGTTCTTTGTCCGGGCGATTCTTCGACGAAATGAAGCTCGTTAACCGAAAATCCCGGGGCGCGATAATACGATTTTAAGCGTAACGGGGGATGCGTCGAAAAACTGCAGCATCATTTCGCCGTGTATCGCAACGGCGATGCATTGTATAAACATAAATAATTTGCATCGGGAGATTTTTCTATTGTACAGCCGTCGGCGTGGCAAATTAACGGGCGACTGTAGACGCGCGCTCTGGTTCAATCAGCGCCGCTCGGGATATATGTACGTGTGATATATATTGGCAATCGAGTTACTGAATACTTTTTATTGTGCATACGATTACAAAAGTATTTCGAACGGTCTTGAAACGGATAGGATAAACTCACGGAGTTTCGAATGCAACGTTCGACGTGCGTGTGTATTATTAATCCTGCTATTCTCCTAACTTATTCTTCACGTTTGTGTCTCGTGAAATAAAATTATTTCCAATTTTGAAATGATTTGTTCTTCGGAAAGGGAATACACACAGAAAGTGGACGTGAAATTTAAATGCGTTAGACACTAAAAATAAAGATTTGAAAAAATTCCTACCTCATTATCACATTTATAAATGGATGTCTAAAGTTGTGAATTTGCATAAACATCCGCGGCATAATTATAACCAATATCTTACAGAAACCTCTGCCCTCCGGTAGTTCTCAAATCCCTTTCAGCTCCAGGAATTAATTCATCCAGTTCAAATCAAAAACCCTGTCACCAACACCTAAGAAAGACGTCCACGACCTTGCAAAATAACGAATCCGATCGTGGTCACGGTGTAACGCCTTCTATCCCAGAGGTTTCGTTTCGTGAACGAAGGAAACGGTGAATCGAACGTGAACGAGGGAAAGGGTAAAAGAAAGAAAAAATCACGGCGCGTATTAATCATTCGTTCCGTATCCCCGCGGTTTCGTGCCGGGCGATATATAATTCATGCATATTTACGGGGATGCCGGAGGAATAATTAACGAACGGCAGCGCATTAAGGCGACCCACTCTGTGTGTATACGTACGTGCACGTACAGTCGGCTTCTAAGAAGACTATCTAAATTATAATAAATCGATGGCGTACGCACGGGGGCAACGTCGATGGTTTACCACCGCTACGAGTCCTCTCACCTTTTCCATCCCTTTCTGTATATATGTGTGTGTATCGTATCGATGGGCGTCGTTGTACGAAGTAATGTTACTCGACGCGACGGCAGCGACCCCCCTCCTCTTTGCATAATGCCATGGAAATATGCTGGAACGTGTATCGCCATAGTTGGATACAGATTAAGCGTGTTAGAGCTTCGACACCTCGGCTAATTCGCGAAAAAGGAGTCACCCGGCCTGGCTCGTTCGCGGCCCATGAATAAATCCGACGAGAGCTTCTCGGCTAACCGAGACGACTTTAGACGAGGATGATTTTCCACCTTGACGAAATGTATTTCGACGGGGAGAATTTTGGGGGAGCAGACGCGCGCGACTTTGGTGACACTTTGCCGAGTGGAGGAACAACGTTTTCTGCTTGGAATGAGATTCTGAACACTCGTTGACACTAGAACTGCCAACTATAAACGTATATCTATTTTTATCGGATTGATAAATATGACAAATTTCTGAAAATAGTGAATGTTCTGTTGGTAGTATTCGTTGTATTAACATAGGTCGTAGTTCTGGTGTTTGTAATCCACCGGATTTGTTATTAGTATTTTTTTGGAGGGAAATAATTGGTTTATATTTAGGGTATTTGTGCTTATTATTCTTGCCACTATGGTTTAACCCTCGTGACCTGAAAGATCATTTAGTAGGTATAGTTTACGTACAGAGAGAGATATATAAATCGAACCCTCCGAATATCTTCGAAATCGATGATACCCCTATAATTTCTCCTCAATTTGAAATGTAATGACTATAATTCCCCACCACAATAATGCAGCTTTTTCGATCTCTTCATAAAAATATTCCATTTTGTTTTTAAAACATACATATGGAAAAATACAAAACTCACCCCAACACCTAACACAGAGATGATAGTCCAGCGGCTGAAGGACGGGCAAGCTATTAACCGGATTACAGCGAAACGACACATTCGACTTTAATGGCACGGAGTCGAATCAGTATCGTCAACGGGACGAAAGTTTCATCAATCGAAAGTGTCGATTTCGACGGGAAACGAGGGACGATGGAAGGGGTAGAGCAGCACACAGGGGTGAGAAAATAACGAGCGTCACTGGATTCCCGGGTAAAAGTGGAAGTTATCAAATGATTCGAACGCGGCCGCGGCCATTTTTCTGTATAAAAGGGAGAGAATATCCCCTCCCTCCCCGTCGTCCCTCCTCTTCCGCGTGCTGTAATTTCGAATTTTCGTCAAAGTCGTACAATGGACTGGTCGGCCGCGGCGCCATTGGTTCGGGGCATTTCATTGCATAAAAAATAGATAAAGCCCGGTCGATAGGTAACGAACGAAAAATAGGAGGCGCAGGGAGGCCACGGCGGTAGTTCAATTTTTTTTTTCGCCACGCAAATTCGTAAACGGCTATACTCGACGGTATGGCCACCCCATATTAAATGGACGAGGCGAGGGGGATTAGTTGAATGCACCCGGGCCCCGAACATTTTGCTTGTAAAAGTGCGCCCGCCGATGTGTATGTACATATATAGTAAGCCGTAGAAACGTATGTTTATGGGGCTTTCGGCATTTCGCATAAATTAATCAGCGGGACTGACCCTTGCGCAAATATCGGGGCGTCGTTCGCCATTGATGGAACCGGCACGCAACCACCCCCCCGCCCCCGTTCTTCTAGAGAAAAGACATTTTTGGCGAATCCTCGATTGCACTCGTCCACGAATATAACGAATTCATAGTTGGTGTAACGATGAGGGATGTTTTAAATTGTACTCCTGTGAAATGTTTTACCAGAATTAGAAATTACATGTTTGATGTAAATAAGGAATTTTTGTTGTTCAATTGGCGGGCCAAATTTTACTGAAAGAAAGCTCAACGTCTGTAGACTGTTAGGAATCAGTTATATTAATCGTTTTGTCTTTTTCCACGATAGACATTATTGTATAGTAAATGGTAAACTGTTGAATAAATCCAGTCTGTCATCAATACTTTATTCTATTTCATTCCCAACTGCATATATTCCTTTTATAAATCACTGTAATAATATTAAGAATTCCAGCTATCAATATTGATAATAATTTTAGTGTGTTACTGAATATATGTATATCTGCACGAAGTAATTAAGAACACTCATGTTCGAGTGCTGTAAAAACAAATGTCCTAAATGCGAACGTAAAGAACAGTGAGCAAAAAATTCTTAGAGGGTAACTTTATCCAACAGGATCGATAGATTTGTTAAGCCAGTTAGCGGTGAAAGAAATAAGTTTCCATTAAAACAAAGCAGAAAGTAAAACCGTTCATTAAACTCTCGTGCGCGCAATTCACAGTGTCCTCTCATTGACTTCATTACCGTTTCTAATTGTTGTCCATCCATTTTCGTATTTTGGCAGGAATTCCCAATTTCGTTAACAAGTTCACTCCTCGTTTTAATTACCTCAGAATAAACTCCTCACTTCAAGCGTTCCCATATATAGAAACACGCACATGGGGGGATGAAAAAAGCGTGCTGCATTTTGGGGACACAGCTTCAGCCACAAAATCACTTCCAACATCTTTGAATATAAACATTATTCTACCGTCAACTATAAAATAGTGCTAAATACTTCCAGAATATAAATGGGTACTTTTATACAGAGTATAAAAATAATATTACACAGAGAAATGAGTTACAAAATTGCATTTAGAAGGAACGATGTATGAGGGTCCAAACGTTTCCACATTTCGCTGTTTACTACTACTTAAGTCCGCCTTCCGAGGGTTAAATAAATCGTTGGGCTCCAAAAGGTTCGCTTATGTTTCGTAGTGTGACGCTATGACAACTATATGAAACTTCAAATTCAAAAATATGAAAAATCGTGAAAAAATCTGTTGCCCACTGTCACCCAACATTCACCTGTAAACAGTCTACCCAATTTACCCAATCTATTTCGATCCACAAATTCCCCCTAGAATTCAGAGCGAAAAGCTCACACAGTCATCCCCCGATAGAAACCCCAGAAAACCACGATCTTCGACGGTCAGAAACCACCGGAAAACCAGTCGAATCCGCGGAGAGCAATCGGCGGGTAACGCGCGGCGTCAACGGTAGCCGGGTTGTCGAACGGGATGGTTACGATTTAAATTCCGCGGGAAGGATCGTTCGGTCGGCGGGTTCCTGGGGCAGTAAAAAATCGTTAGCCGGCCCTCACGGGCCATCTCGCTAATGCGAAAAAACCGTGGTGCAGCATTCTCTGGTTGAGAGGGACCGGATCGGTTCGGGGGTGAGGTAGGTAGGGAGGATCGAA